TAACAAGCTCTGAAACAGGAGAATATTATCACTGATGATTCAACCCTTAATAAATGATGTCTAAGATCTACTAATCACTTTAGCGAGAACAAGAACAATCCTAATAGCCAAGAGTTTTGAAATTTCTTTGAAAAGTACATTGCAACAAGATACATGGCAATAATCTTTCATGCATTCTGAACTCGCAACTTTGCAATCAAGGTATAAATATTGTAGAGTTCACAAGAATTACCTCTTCAACCTCTTTACCAATAATATCCTAGTGATCAATGATGAATTAGCTTTTAAAAAAATGAAGCTTCTTTTTTTATGTTATAAATATTACTTTTATACTTTTTCAAAAGTAAAACTTATAAAAGTGTTTGGCACAAATTCAACTTTTGAAGTAGAAAATCACTTATAAAATTTTTGCCACCCCTTACTCATATTTCACTCTTCTAACAAATTTTGAATTCGACCTCTAATCGTGATTTCTCTTTTGCTAAACAAATATCAAGATCTGAACTATAAAAGTGCCTCATTACCGGTAACTAATGCATATTGGATTAAAATTTATCAATGATGCACCCCATCGAGGAGTCGCTGTACAAGGGAACATGATTTGATGGCCTCCATAACCAAGCACTAGAAAATTACTAATTCTCGCAATTAGGATCACTAATACACTGCTTGTGGGAAGCAAGAAAGGGTGGGACAATGAATAATTAACAATATGTATACTATTCAAGGATAAAAGAGCTACTTGATGGGGATTTCATAATTAGTTAATTACACACCTTTTCAAGGCATATGGCCTCTCCCCCATGCTTCCCAATTGCCCACACTCCAGGGTCCCACCACTCTCTAGTCTCTCCCCTCAATTTTACAATAAAAAGTTATTTTAGAAATTACATTATTAATTTTGCAATGTACTTCTAAAGAAAATGAAGAAATTGTAGCATATTATCTTACTTTATCAAGTTATATTTATCGAGGTGAAGTAAGTTTATTGTTGCAAAGCTTACTTTTTGATACCCAAATTTTATTAAATCACAATTTAGTTACTATAATGTATATTTTGCATTTTGATATCTCAAATTTGATTTTAATGTAAATTCATTGAACAATTACGTTTTGGTATCTACATTTTAATAGATTTTTGTACCTACAATTTTTTAAATTTACATATTGATCCAATGTTTAGATTTCACTTGAATCCATGATTCAATCCACCAATCCTTTTGAACCAATCCACCATAACATAAAATTACAAATTTAGTTTGTACAATACAAGATGTTGTATCACTCAACTGTAGAAGAAGATTCGACCATTTTATATTTGCAAACTACGTGAAACATTCAATAAATGATAAAAGAGAGACAACTCTAAAATACTACAAGAGCGAATTTATAAACTCAATCAATACATTTACGGTGTACTAAACAAACTTCTACTAACTACATGCAACAAAATATGCGACATCTAAATAAGCAAGTGTCAATAAATTGCTACGGAAAAATGGTTGATTGTTGTATTGACGACCAACTAAAAAAATTGGTCAAAAGCTTTCCATCATCTACTTCCTATTCGTTTCATTTTTCACTCGCCTTCCATAACCCTTTCTTTGTTTCTTTCTTTCCCTTCTTCATCTAACCCTAATTAGTTTACTATGTTTATGTATTCTAATCACAAGTATGAACAGGCCCATAAACGACTCACCAACAGTCTAGAGAACTAATAATTGAACCATGAACCACTAACTTTTCAGCTCAATGTCATGTCCAATTAAAAATAAATGTATATGGTTATTACTTATTAGAAAGTCGTCATTTTCCACTTTGCTTCTCTCTAGAGTTTTTCTTTTTCACCTAGGCTAGAATTTTCAACAATTATACGTGGAATGTTTGGCTAGGTATCTACACATATCAAATAAATAGTTTCCATTTTTCTATAAAAAAGTAAATCATTATCATATTAAATACATCACCATAAAAGTAATTAAGCCTCAAATATGCAAATTATAGTTTTGTATCTAAACTTAATAGATAATTATATTTATAACCTAAATTTATTTTTTTGCCATATAAGTTCTCAAAATATTGATGGACATTATATTTTAGTACCTAATTTTTTTGTATATTATATTTTGGTACCTATACTTTTGAAGTTCTACAAATATGTCTAATTTTTGTATGTGTAATTAAAACACTCTCGAATAAAAGGATATCCATACCCAACTTATACACATTTAGATTATGGAAGTAAATATCCATACTCTACCCAAACCCATCTACAAACTTCCAAACCCACATATATGTCGCCCATACCCTACCCATCAATGGGTCTACTTGGGTTTAGGTATATATCTATAATTTACTAGCCAAAATTTTCAAAATTGGATGTTCACCGCCATATATCTCTTCTCAGTCAAGATCATATTATCAAGTCAATATTACAAACAAACTTGCTAAACAAAAATTAGATTTAGACTAATAATACTAACAAAACACAATAACGGACCACATAATACATGCCATTAGATCATCTCCGCCCACGACAAGGCACGACATCGCCACCTAGTTATTTATTAGTTTTGGAGGAGTATTTGTTTATTGCTAATGGAGGTAATCTTCTTTTTTATTGTACTTTGATGAAACTAATTTAACACCTCGGCTTGGAGCACAACCTATTAGTGTCTTGTTTTCTACCAACAAAAAGTCAAGGAATGTGCATATGTTACTTTCACTTGCTTTAGCAAAGAGATTATTCACTACAAGATATCAATGCTGTTCTTTTTATTTATTTATGGAAGTCCTTGTGGTGGATTTCATTTAATCATAAGAAAAGTTCTAGACTTTTTGAGCATTCATAATTGAGTACAAAGATGAGGAAGGGTATTCAGTACAAATACACGTATGATTCTAGATCAGAGAGTGATATTGACGAAAGCAAGGACTATCAATATTGTCTTAGATTGAACGAAATTAATCAATAAGATAACTCAATATTCAATCTCTAAGATTACTTTGCAACGACAAGAAAATAACTCTCGTGTCCAAAGACAATTAAGGCCTTAGCTTCTAGATATCATCTCTTTTCCTAGGTCCGATAATAAAAGGCTTATATTGCTTGCTTTTGTTATATATATTAAATTAATGTCAATATATGAGTTTATGGAAATCGAATTCATCACTTATATGAATTTTAAATAAATTTAGGCAAATGTAGCTATCTCATTGAGATTTTACCTTTGCTTGGTTTTCATTTTCTTTAAAATTGTACATTTGGTCACAATAAGGTATTTGACCATACTCGTGTAATTATACAATTGAGGTGAACCAATAAAGTTAAATGTTCAAGGTTAACTAGTAAATCTCGAAATAAGGTAACAAAATCATGAGACAAAATATACAATAGAAAGCTACCGTTTCACAAGCATTTGGCAGGAAGGGTAATTAATCTTTTACAAGAACCGAAGTATGTATGATTCTAGTAATTATATCTAACAAAGATAATGTACTAAAAGTGGCCACTCAAGTTAAATACATGCAAAGGAAAAGGAAAAAAATTGAATGACATTAGAGCAAAGTATATCCAATCATATGGTATATAGTTTAAATATCCTCAAATAGTTTCCACATATAGAAATCCAGATATTTTCGAATGTCAATAACCTTTTATTTTATTTTATGGAAACTAAGTTCATAAGAAGCCAAATACAATGGACAACATCAAGTAAATCAAAGCAACAAGCTAGACGAGTGGAGAGGGATATTTATTAGGAAGCCAGCTAGCTTGGCAATACGAAATTAATATGGAACCTACTATTTATCAATTAGGACCATAATCTCTTAGATTTGTTCATTAAAAACAACAATGAACAGTTAAGTTTTTTATATAGTATAAAATTATGAGTGAATTAATCAAGTTGTCACTATATATAGAGGGCCAACTTGATAGAAATTTCCTTTTGGTTTTCATAGCTAAAACACTTCCCACTTCATTTTTGTCTGCCTCACTAGCTAGCTAGTAAGCTAGCACTTAGCAGTTAGCACAAGCTTCAGATCTAGGATCATTAGACCCATTTGTCTGGTGTATTAGGGGTAGCCAAAGATTCAATCAAATTAATACCAAAATAATTATCAGAAAAAAACTATTCGATTTGATATTAGTTAGTATTTTTCTTAAAAAATTGAATAATATTTTTTTTTATAATGACGATAGAAATTTTATTAAGAAAGGAGACAAGAACAAAAATTGAATAATAATTATACTTTATTTTTATTTTTCTTTATTACGAATTGACTTGATTTGATTTGATCGAATTATACACTTCTTCGCATCGGAGTTATTTCAAAATTGTCATGGTAAGGAAGAAGGGGGGAACACCAATAAGATCTACAATGCTTTAAGGTGTTTGGTTTATCCAAAAAATAAATCATGGTACAATATAAACTTGTACCTTTAAGTTTATGATATAAATTTATTTTGTATCTATAATATTTTACAAATTTTTTTACAGTATAAACTAAGTTTGTACTTTTAACATTGTGGTACAAAATTTAATTTTTATAAATATTTTTTATATGAATTTTTGAAAATACAAACTAAACTTATAGGTTTGATATTATAAGACAGGTTCGACTTGTATCTACAAACACCAATATATGGAAGGGCTCTCATTCCAAATCTCTCTATAGACACATTATTGGACCACTTCTTTCATTAGATGGGTTGGCCTTTCACAACTTAAACAAAAATATATCATATATGCATCGTTTATCCAAAAAAAAATTTGTTGATCATTATCTTCCTTCTCGTAGTATCCAATTCCCATTCCCATTACCCATATTGTTTATTCATATCTAATCCTTTGTACCTTAACATTATTTTATGTCATTACCAAATCTTTTCCTCCCTTTTTTATATTCCTGTACATCTAATTAAGGAAAGCCAACAAACAATAAAAAGAATATATAAATACGCAAAGAAATATTTTTTAAACCCCCACCACCATTTCCTTCCCATCACATCATTTCCCCTCTTCTGACTTCCTTCCTTCCTTCCATCCTTCCATGGCCGTCATCCCAATTTCTTCACCTCCTCTCTTCTCTTCCTTCTTCCCTCCCTTCTTCTCGTAACGCCAACCACCACTCTTCCACCACCGCCGCTGCCACCGCGGCAGCTATCAATCAATTCACCCTATTTCCCCTCTTTTCTCTTTGTCTTACCGCCGGCGAAGATGAAAATCCAGTGCGACGTCTGCAACAAAGAGGAGGCTGCGGTTTTCTGCACCGCAGATGAGGCGGCGCTATGCGACGGATGCGATCGCGGCGTCCACCACGCGAACAAGCTCGCCTCCAAGCACCTCCGCTTCTCCCTCCACGTTCCTTCTACCCCGAAATCCTTCCCGCTCTGCGACGTCTGCCAGGTGTTCGTCGATATGCCTCTGTAAAAAAATGAAAACTATTTCCTAGTTGTTAGAGCGAAAAGTTGACTAATTTTGATTTGGGTTTTCACGATCTTTGTAGGAAAAACGGGGGTTCCTGTTCTGCCAGCAGGACCGGGCGATCTTGTGTCAGGACTGCGACGTCCCAATCCACACGGCCAACGAGTTTACAAAGCAGCACAGCCGGTTTCTCCTCACCGGAGTAAAGCTCTCCTCCACTTCCGCTCTCTACACCTCCCCTGCCTCCTCCGCCACCGCCAGCACCGGAAGTCTCGTCCCCTGCACCACGACCACGACTGCTAAATCTCGGCCTCCGCCGCCGCAGCCTACTCTGCCACAGCCAGCGAAAAAGCCAGTGTCACTGTTGACCAAACCTGCTCCTAATTCAATCGCCAAGACCTCATATTCTGCGAACAACAACGAAGCCATCAAATTTGGGGGTAATAGTACTAATAACAATATTAACAGCGGGAGTAATAACATGTTGGTGGCAGGGGAAGGGTTTGGTTCGTTGGCTACGAGCAGTATTTCAGAGTACTTGATCGAGACGCTCCCTGGTTGGCACGTTGAGGATTTTCTTGAGAACACATCGACCCCTTTTGGCTTCTGCAAGGTTTGAACCTAAAGTTCTCAACTTTTTGCTGATCTTGTTAAGATATTTTGTGGGTTTTGTCTGTTTCTCAAGACTCAAATGGGTTTGTTTGTTTTGTTCTCCTGTGTTTAGCCTGATGATCATGAAGCTCTCACTCCGTTCATGGCTAGCGAAAATCAGGTGAGCTCGTTCTCATCTGAAAGCTCAGGGATATGGGTTCCTCAGGCGCCACCAACTCCTCATCAATACCCATCTCTTCAAAACCAGCAGCATTATCAACAAATCGGGATGCAAAGTGGGTTCAATTACAAGGAGACAAAGGATCAGAATCAAAATCAGGTAGGAAACCTGAAAACAAATAGTCGACGGTGGACCATGGAGGATGTGTTCACTGTTCCACAGATCAGCCCCCAACCCAACGGCTCCAAGAGATCAAGAATGTTATGGTAGTAGAGAATTGCAGAAACTTCAGCTCCAAGCTTTCTGCTTTTGTAGTTCTTTCCCCTTTTTGTTCGATATTTTGATCATTTGGTCTTTCTTCTTTTGGTAGAAGATCATTTGGGTTTTCAAAAACGTATTGAGTGGGTTCCTTTCTCTCGAGTCTACTTGTGTCTTTTGGGTCAGTTTTGTACTTTCTTTCCCTTCTTTGTTGATTTGCAGGGGTTTTCTTTGTGATCCATCATTTGGGGTTTGTTGTAGTAGTGAAGTAGTACAGTTAGTTGCATAAAAAGGGTCTGTAAATACATGAAAGTGGAGGTGGAGATCTTTTGTTGTTCCTTTCCTATTACAGCACAAACTTGGTTGAGGGGAGAATCCCCGAATCTTGGGATGAATTGATCTTCCACTAGTGAGTAATAATACCCACTAAACCAGAGGAACAAAGGAGGAGATGCAAGTTGTCCTAGGTGGAGTGTTTGGTTCGATCCAGTTCAGAACCAGACAGGAGATGGTTGTGGGTACATTAATGAAGATGAGAGAGAGAGAGAGAGAGAGAGAGAGAGAGAGAGAGAGAGAGAGAGACGATGGGCTGGTTTTGTTTGGTAGTGGAGGAGAGCACTACTTCCATGATGGCAGAGTGGGCAAAGAAAGAAAGCTACAATAAGCTTTTTTGTTATAATTATAGCCCACACTCCAAGGTCCCAAATCTATCTATCTATTCTGTCACTTGACATCAAATTCATCCCAAGTATGGGCGCTCTGCGGCCCTGTAGTTTGTTCCCATCTTTTGCTGGTTGTCATGTTTCAGTGATTGAGAGATTGTAGTTTAGTGACGGGATGTTTCCTTAATCCTATGTTTTTAAGGAAAAAGGTGGGTATGATACTTTTGGGGAAAATATTTTGAGGACTCGAAGGTAAATTTTATCATGTATAGTATCAATTAATTATACGTAATGGTTATGTTTGTCCAAATTAAGGGTATAGATTTCATTAATTTTCATTTCTTCACCTTTCAAACAGCATTTTTTAAACTTTATTTTCATAACAAATAAGTATTGTCTCCATTTTCACCTTTCAGATTAAGAGGTCTATGAATTTGTGTTTCCACAAAATTTGGTTGTACCAATAGTAATGAAACTTAATAGCCTTGACAACACTAGCAAGGTAGATAACAAATTAGAACATACGTGACTAGGTCTCAAAGTCTATTCATCTGTTTACTGAGATATACCCATTATAAAAATAAATAAATAAATAAATATTACTCAGATTTACAGGTTTAAGTTTTTCAAGTTAAGAGATCTGCATAAAGGGCCATTAGACTTGATCATCAAAGATTCAAAGTGCTAATAGGGTCGAAAATGCTTCCTTGCCTTATTGTGCAAATGGGATCCCCTAGCTGTCCCAAGAGAAAATAGAGAAGGTTGATTCTAAAATTATGGAGATTTGAAATGGTTTGAGGCTTTGAGCTGAAGGGTTACTAGGGTCTAAAGGGATTTGGGGTGTTAGGTATGACCTTGAGGAGGCGTATCAGAATATGTAGGAAAAGATAAATATAGAGAGAAGTTGAAGTGAAGAGTGAAGTGTAGATAGATTGTCATTTATGAGGAAAGAACTCCTATTTATACAAGTCTGAGAGTTAGCTAGTGATTCAGGCGCCTGCCAAGTCAAAAAATGTTGTGGTCGGGCGTCTCAGACCTTCTTACAATGTACATTGTACTTTCTCAGAGGGTGTCCCCTTTTATTATGTCCTTGCTCATGTCAGGTGGCTTTGTCCTTTGATCTTGTCTTCTTAGGCTATTTTGTCTTCTTTATTCATTATACAATTAACTAGGGCATAACTAGGGTTTTGCCCCTTAAGCAATTAGCATACCCTATCAGAAGTGAACATAGATTTAAGACCCTTGTCCTTATGGAAACCCGACATCTTATGTCTTGATAACGTTTTCCAACACAAAATTATTCTGGAGATCCATACATTCCGAGCATTATTTAGCGCAATATTTTATTTTTATGTTCATTTTGTATTTACTCGTTGCACATTATCCACTTATATCGCAAATTTTTTACTGAAAATTATCACTTATTTTAAAAAATATAATTTTTAAAATTTCGCTATGGCAAATCGGAAAATCCCGCTTCTACTTATTATTCTTGCAATCAACCGATCATAATACTCCTTGGATATTTCAAAATATAAGCTATCAACAGTATTTCAAACATGGTAAATAAATACTACTTTTAAAAACATATATATGACCTTATGTATTTTATTATTATTATTATTACTGTCAAATCGTTTCATTATCTCCAGTTCAGTTGATCAGCGGCGGATCCAGGATTGGGTAGAGTACTGGGCCACATTGGAAAAAAGCAGAGAAGGCTGGGCCGTAATACGACGAATACTGAAACGAACACCAAAAATCGAAAATTTACACGTGCTATACTAACTACGGATCGAGGGAGGGCTGGGCCGTGGCCCGGGGGCGGCCCCCCCTAGATCCGCCGCTGCAGTTGATGACTACAGTACTAAACATGTTTAATATATGTATTTAGCGAATTATATTGTTAAATTATTTATTTTATATGTTAATTTATTTTTACTATTAAACGTAACATTAGTTTAAGAACAAAGTAAAAAACCTCGTACATATTTATATACAATTTATCCCTACCGTATTTTACTAATTCTGATTCCAAACTAACCCTATCTTTCGAAAACCATTCTACCTAGAATTTGCCCTTTACATATATCTCCATTTTTTTTGGGGTGTGGGGTGGGGGGATCAAACTAACCTATCTTTCGAAAACCATTCTACCTAGAATTTTCCCTTTACATATATCTCCATTTTTTTTGGGTGGGGTGGTGAACGGCTATTTGCCGCCAACCAAATTGCTATTTGCCGCCAACCAAAAAAAAAAAAAAAGTTGAATTCAAATTTTGAATTCAAATTTTGAATTCTCCCTTCCTTCCCTTCCTATAAATTCGAATACCATAACATTTGACTCATTCCAACAAAAACACTTTTGTCGACGAGCCCAGTGCCTCTGTCGCCGGCACCGTTCTTCCGTCGCCGGCCAACCTCCCGTCGTCCTCAATCGTCGGAAAACAAGTAAGTTTACTTTTTCCGGCAAGTTTTTCAATTTTCCGGCAATTTTTCCAGTTTTCCGGCGAAAAACACGGTGGGCCGAAAAAAATTTGCGGTCGGAACGCGCCGGCCGAAAAATTCTTTCGGCCCGGCGGCGTTCCGGCCGCAAGATTTTTTCGGCCGAAAAAATATTTCGGCCGGGCGTCGCGCCGGCCGCAAAAAAGTTTCGGTCCTGCGGCGCACCGGCCACAAGATTTTTTCGGCCCACCGTGTTTTTCGCCGGAAAACTGGAAAAATTGCCGGAAAATTGAAAAACTTGCCGGAAAAAGTAAACTTACTTGTTTTTCGGCCCACAGTTTTTGTATTCATGGATGCGTGTCCGCAGTTTACGTCGAGGATGGGCTTTCCCGATGGTTTTCCGGCGAGCGTCGATTTTTTCTGATTCAATACGTTTTCTGAAAGTTGGATATGTTGTAGATTGTGAAATTTCTTAACCAAAGATGTACATATATACTTTTTTTTTTAGTTGGCGGCAAATAGCAATTTGTTTGGCGGCAAATAGCAAGCCCCGTGGGGTGGGGGGGATTTGTTTTGCACTAAGTTACTTTCAAGTCGGTTTTTTATAGTTAGTGTGGTATGTAAGACTTTTAGATGAATTTACCATCGAAACACAGGAGAGATTCATAATTAATAAGTAAGAAATCCATCGTACCCGACAATATGTGTTTTGGGATGAAATGAAAGAGTTCTTGTAAGAACTAGGGATGGCAATGGGTAGGGTCGGGTGCGGGATTACCCTATACCAACTCCTAACCCGTCGGGTAGAGTCTTTTAAAATATCCGACCAAATAACCACCGGGTATGAAAATTATATAATCATACCCTACCCACCGGGTAACCACGGGTATTCGGGTAACCATGGTTACGAATCCTAAACTATGAACTTAATATATGCACATACATATTGTTGTCCATTAAAAATTCTCAATACTTCTAATTGTTCTAGCTTCAACAATCCACACAAATAGAAACAACAAAAACATAATAATTGTTCTTACTTCTACAATCCACACAAACATAATAATCGTCTACATCTTCATCATCAATAATGATAACTAAACTCAATTTCTCAAACTAAACTAAATTTCTCAAGGGAAATTGACCCTTTGGTTAGCGGGGCGGGTATAACGGGGCGGGTATTATCGATTACCATACCCGTACCCTACCCTTTATTTTGAAACCGGGTATTACCCGTACCCGCCCCTTAACCTGTCAAAGCGGGTAATTACCCTCGTTGACCGGTTACAGTCGGGTAGGGTACCCATGGTTACGGGTTGGATTGACATCCCTAGTAAGAACTGCGATGTTAAACGTTCTCATTGTTAAGCATTGTAAGAATGAGTAATCTTTCAAAAAATCCTCTTTAATATACACCCAAAACAAAAAACATGCGAGCCTAGATGTCAACTCTAAGAATATCGGGAAAATGTTTGGGATATTAGAGCTTGTACTAGTTGTTAGCAAAGCTAAATAAGCCGAAACTGAATACGATGAACACACATATTTAACGTGGTATCCCTGGAATGCCAGGACTAATCCACGGGAGAGGTTAACTCTCCAAGACGAAAATCATACTATACTCGCTTAAGGTTCTCGGTAGATTACAAGAGAATATATATAGTTTTTGGTTTCTAACCCTAGCTTCCCTACGTCTGCATGAATAGGGTTGCATGGGCTTGGGCCAATATTCCCTCACATCTCCGTGACCCAATTACACGACCCAATGTACACTAACAGCCTCCCCCAAATTGATGCCGGGAACGAAGCATCAATTTGCTTGAGAGGTACCAATGACGACTACTGGTAAACGGCTTAGTAAAAATGTCAGCAATTTGTTCCTCCGTCTGCAGATACTGAAGCTGAACTGTACCTTCACGCACCAAATCCCGAACATAGTGTACATGAAGTTCAATGTGTTTAGTACGATCATGGAGAACCGGGTTAATCGCAATCTGAATGGCACTCGTGTTGTCCACAAAGACAACAATAGGCGGAGTACACTTTACTCCAAGATCACCCAGTAATCGGTTCAACCACACGAGCTCCGAACAGACATCAGATAGAGCCCTGTACTCAGCCTCCGTTGACGACTTAGACACCTTATCTTGTTTCTTGCATCTCCAGGAAATGAAAGAACCCGAAAATTGAACACACCAGCCCGTAGTAGACCGCCGTGTATCAATACAGCCTGCAAAATCTGAGTCGGAAAAAGCACGTAGATCGAGAGAACCCGTCGATGGAAAGAACATACCTACATCCTGAGTACCTTTCAGGTACCGCAGTATCCGATGTGCCGCCGTGAAATGATCACGATGAGGTATCGCCATGAACTGGCTAACCATCTGCACAGCATACGAAATGTCAGGTCGGGTGGCGGCTAAATAAATGAGACTTCCCACCAAGCTACGATACC